AGATAGTTTACAACCATAAATATGATAAATATGATATGACTCTTTTGATTAATCCATGCTAAAAACAAGCCAGTAAACAGAATCCTGATTCTGCCAGCGTTGTGATAAGGACACGCTAAATCCTCATTTTTATGCGACAGCACACTGTAATGTATCTTTAAGTGAAGTGCATTGCCCCGGGGTAGTGTGATCTGTGTAACCTGAGGTAAGCTTTAAACTAGGTATAGAGTATTAAATAGCTCGCTGTAGGCTGTCATAATGCATTCAAAGCAGAATGTGCACAATGACAGCCACCTGGCCTGAAATAAATGAGATGAGCTTTAAACAGCCTGGAGAAATTGCTCTTTGCCCACCAATTGTGTCTCATAAAAAAATTGAATAAGAAAAATATTAAAGCAAGCAGACAACATAATTACAAGCGGGTTTATTACATAATTACACTGTTTTTAGCAGCTTTGGATCCAAAAGTAATTTTTTCCCATTAATTTTCACCAGAGGGAATAAAAAAAAAAGTCTTCAGAGAGACAAACCAAGCAGCATCAAGATGAATAAGACCATTACATCTGATTCAAAGAAGAAAAAAAAAAAGGCAAAAGACTGTACTTATATTATTTTGTGGGGAAAAAAACTCCCATGAAGCATTAAGTATGTTTTTTTTTAGTACTTATAAAGATTTAGCAAATATATTTATAACGTTACAAAAGATTGCAATTCATTTTAAGCACTGAAGAATGCTTACTGAGCAGCAAATCAGCATATTAGAAGGATTTCTGAAGGATCATATGACAATAAAAACTAGAGTAATGATGCTGAAAATTCAGCTTTGCAATCACAGGAATAAATTACATTTTTAAATACAATCAAATAGAAAAGTTATTTTAAACTGTAATAATTGTAACACAAATGTGTTGTTTTTACTGTATTTGCGATCAAATAAATGCAGTCACGGTGTCTCAAAATGGAGATTCATGTCTAGCACAAATAGATTTGATGAAAAAGAGTTTAACAGTAAACAGAGAGGATGGAAAAGAAGTTCTCCGCTCTGAGCACCACAGGAGGGTAGGATGCATTCTGAATCCCAGAGGTACCAGTGAGGACCCAGAGTCACTGCTGTGTGTGTGTGTGTGTGTGTGTAGGAGAGACAGAGAAAGTGAGAAGGGTGCCGATGAAAAGCTCCTGGCTCATGTTTTGCACGGCATGTCTGTTCACGCCAAAAACACAAAGGGGAATTTAGTACAACTTTCAGCTGAATAGTTTATCAATTATGCTGTTGCATAGGAACAATGAACAGTTAGATGAATGATCTACTATTGAAAATCACGAAACACATCTCTCAAGATAATTTTCCTTGCAGATGCATACCAGTGTGCAGAATCTTAAATACGTCTTATATACAGATAGAAAATTACAGACTTTTGGACCCCACAGTATCTTACACTATATATGAACTGTATGTTCCAATTCCGTCATGAGGGATTGAGTGTGAAAGCAGCTTTGCTCGGCATGCTGGCCTGCTGCAGGCTACGACTGTGCCCGTGTGCCACACCAAACACCAAACGCACGCAACAGCCAGCACACTTTCCCCTTTCCAGAGGCATGCCGTATAATGCACCCATTGTTTCTCAAGCCAAATACATTACTGGGTGTAAAAAGTACATCACTTTGGTGCCATTGAGGCTTTCAAAGGGATTTCACATGTAGAAGGATATTTCCTCATCTTATAAAATATTTATTCTGAAGCAGACAGAGCGGGAGACAGTGTCACAGGAAAATAGAAAACAAACTCATTAAATTACATTAATTCATTTGGTAGATGCTTTATACACATTATGATTTTACAGTTTATCAGTATGCATGTCCCTGGGAATCGAACCCATGGCCTTTAGATGCCAGTGCAAAGCTCTACCAGTTAAGCTACAGAATAACATCTTCATGTGCTTCACTGATAAATTCAGACCTTTCCTTTTTTATCAAATATTTAAATTTATTAAATAACACACATAAAAATAGTGTTTCGCCAAATCCCTTCAGAAAACATTTGCTGCCGCAAATTAACCACACATTTAGTGGCAAATTGTTGCATTGAATACGTTTTTGGGGTTTTGCAAACCAATATCATAAGTCTCTTTGGCTGTGGTTTAAAACCTAGTGAACACTCATAGGCAACTACCTTCTGTGGCAACATCGTATAAACTGAAATTAAATCTCATACCTATATGGAACACTATTTCTGAGCGTCATACAAAAACATTAAAAGCGCATCTGGCAATTTTGCAGAGCAACTTAACTGCGCTGTAATATGAGGACAAATCACAATATCTCAAAATAAATAAATAAAACACTAAATTACATTAATTAATTTGGCAGATGTTGTATGCATATTAGGATATTCAATTTATCAGTCTGCATGTCCCTGTGAACTGAACCCATGACCTTGGTGCTAATACTAAGTTCTACGGAAGAACATTTTAATGCACTTATGTGCTTCAGTGAAAAATTCAGGCCTTTATTTTTTATTATCAAATATTTAAATCGATTAAATAACACTAATAAATAACTCTTTACAAACGGCTTCCCTTGAATAACTAGAGAGCTGTGCCAAATCCCTTTAGAAAACATTTGGCAAACATTGCTGCAGCAAATTAACCACACATTAGTGGCAAATTGTTGCAAAGAAAGATGTTTTGCAAAGGAGACCAATATCATATGTCTCTATGGCTCTGGTTTATAAACTAGTGAGCAGCCATAGACGACTACCGTCTATAGCAGCATCATAACTGAAATGAAATCTCATACCTATTTGGAACACTATAAGAGTGAATCATTAAAAATGGATAACACTAAAACATCTGATCAATTCTTTCAATTACTGAATGAATTCTAAGTATATTTAGAGTTGCCACTTCCTGTTTTCTCCACCAATTGTTTTCAGTAGTTTTTACTGATATTGTCATGATGTATTATGGAATTGTCTTTCTTCACAAAGCATATATGCAAAGCTGCTGTGGCCAAAAGAAGGTATCTTAGAATTTTCAATGTTCCTCCTTTCTGGAACACAACTATAATAGTAAGTAATGATGTCTATGTAAGCAGCTCACTAGACTTTGAGCAAAAAAATCTTATCTTTTTTTTTTTTTAGTTATATTTTTATTATAGATCTATTGTGAGATTATTTATGTGGTATTATTGTTCCCTTACTGACTTATTTACAGATGGTGGGGAACAAGAAGTCATTGTGTATGGGTGCGCACCATGAATCCAAGACAGTTTCCCTTCGGGGACAGTAAAGCTTATCTCATTCATTCATTTGAAATCAATATCCTTGCTAATTTGGCTATTGTTTATTTTTAAAGAAACCATGTTTGATCTGATGCTTTGGATGCCATGGTGACCAGATTTCCCGTCTGATTTTCAGAACAGACCCGCATCTATGCCGCCCTCAGCGAGATCTAGTTTTTCAGCCCTCCAGAATTAATTCTCACTTTAGTGTCTGCGATCCAGTCCACTTCCTCTTTATAAATATTTCATGCGACCGGTCTCTGTGGGAAATCTCTCTCTGCTCCCAAGCAAGAGCTGACAGAAGGTATCTTCAGGCTTAGTGTCTTCCTCCAACACCAAATGGATGCAGTCAGGCACTCACACCTCGACTAGCCCGGTTGATGGCTGACTCGCTCGCTTCCTGTTGGTTCCATCAAAACAACGGCATGTGAAACGAACAAAATAAATAATTGGTCAAATGAATGAGGCCTACTTGTCTAAAAAAAACGTATCAAGCACACTGTTCATTTCACCGCATGATGCTGACATCTCTATTTTCCTCCATGAAAGCACTTTTTATAGCATCTTTGGGTCACAGCAGCTCGTTTCCTTAAAAGAGACTCGCGCTGGATCTGCCAGACTCCATCAGAAAGGCAGGGATGCATAATTGAACAGCTGGTAAATTACACAAGAGTAGGTGATTACATTTCATGAAGGTCTTTTAGCTGTAATAATGCTGCATTACACTCATGCTGTATTGTCTAAAGGTCTGTTTGGTGAATCCCACTCTTTAATTGGTGCTCTTATGTAAAAGGAGCTTATTTTTCTTAAAATTTCTTTATTCAAATTATTTTATGAGGTGTCATAGACTGGCCAAATTCATTTTTCATAAGTTTGTTAGACAGACATCTGTTGTGGGCGTTCTTGGCAGTTGCTACGAGACTTTTTTTAATAGTGTTCATATCGATATCGGAATTATATCGTATCGACCGAAATGAAGAAATATATCATGATATCAATTTTGGCCATATCGTCCAGCCCTAGCGAAAAATGATATAAAGTTATAAATAACTGGCATTTACTTATGAAATTATGAAAAAAAGTGTGAAAATATTATTTAAATGTGTATATTTAGGATAAATAAATGCTAGTGACAAAATTAGCCTTATCAATACAAAGTAATCTGTCATTTTGTTTCAAATTGGTCATTTCCACCCCAAAATGAATGAGTATTAAAGGTCACATATTGTACACCTTTCTGGAGTTTTATTTTAGGTTTTGATGTCCTTAAGAATATATATTTGCGGTATAAGTACCAAAAACCATCTCATTATATTTTTACAGCTCCTCTCTCAGGAGCTCTGCTGAGAACAGGTCGATTTTGGTCTGTCTAATTAATATTCATGAGCCTCTCTTCTGATTGGCCTGTTGTTTTCTGAGTGACGCACGGCCAGGCCAACCACAGGTAACTAGGGTCAGCGACGTCACAGCGCTAGCTGGAGGCAGCAAAACAAAGGGGAAACTGGAGGCGGCCCATTCAAACCAGCGCAGATTCGGCTACATAAGGAGCTTAAAATATCATCTTGTGTCGGCTCCGATGGCCTCGTGGGCAGTGCGCTGACATGTAGTGCCTTTGCGCTTTGGGCGTCCCGAGTTCGAGTCCCGGCTTGTGGACCTTTCCCGATCCCACCCCCCTCTCTCTCTCTCTCTCACCCACTTCACTTCCTGTCGACCTACTGTTCTATCTAAATAAAAGGCATAAAACGCCAAAAAAAAAAAAGTACTAATCTAACATCTCACATTCTGTATTATGTGATTTCTAAAATTTGCATTAATTTTAAAGTCTACACATATAAGGGAATCTCCTGTATCTTGTAAATATACAATAAATATATAACACAATATTTATATATTTTTACTAAAATGTTGAAACTTTGAGAAGTGGTGAGGTTTAGGGTGGAGGACTCAAGAGGTTGTCAATTATATTGATACTGTCAATAACATTGAACGTTTCAATGTATATCAAAGATGAAAAGGCATAAAATGCCAAAAATAAATCTTAAAAAAAATATATATATATCATCTTGTTGTGATGTGGGTGCCAGAATCGACGTAATACAGCCTCAAATTAAAAATTTGATCGCATATCTGCTGCCACTGCCAGACAAAAAACCGACGACAGCTGTGGTTAAACGCGATAAAACTAGCAGGTTTGGCAAAAGCAGAGTGGGACGGTGGGCGGTGCTCGGGGTGGTGACTGAAGGCAGTGACTGAGTAGTTCTGACGTCAACTTTTTACGGAAGTCACAACGGTTCGTGAAAAATCACAGCTACTTTATGAAGGCTGTGTGCATTTTACTGTGGACTGACTGTTTTGAAACTTATATGGTAGTTAAATAGCCCCTAGACCTCAGTTATCGTGAAAAAAGCCAGGAAATTTCAGTTTTGACAATATGGGACCTTTAAGATTGTTTATGACAGATGTTTTGCATGGATGCACTTCTATATTGGACATTGTTACAGGACGAAATAACTGAAATGTTTAGCTTTTTTAATTCTGTCACAAGAAAACAAAAGTCATTCAGGTTTAGAAAGAAATGAGAGTGAGTAAATGATGACAGAATATTATTTTTAGGTGAACTATGCCTTTAAGAGAGTTTCATTCCAAAGTCCAAATGGTCAAATATGGCCATAGTTGAATAAAAAACACTTGTGCGTTTAACACGCAGGCAGCTCAGTTGATTGAGCGAGGCCGTTTTCATCCTGGCTCTTGTTACACACCAGCTTTTATCATCTTGTCAAGTGATAAACCTGTGTCATGTTCTTCATTATCTCCCCCAGCGCTGGAATCACCATAATGAATCCACTATTATGTGTGAGCTTTGTAAAGAGCACGGCTCTTTTTCAAAAGCTGTAATGTTATCTTAAAGTCTACAGCTTTTCAGAGAGATTGCAGTTTAAAAGCTTCCATATTTATTTCATGTCAATTCATTCACGAGACGAGACTGTGGTTACTGCACTCTCTCAGAAAAATGAAAAGGGAAATGCAACATTGCATGTGCCTTCAAGGGACCTTTTCACTTGTTAGGCCAAGAACAGACAGTACAGAGGACACAGAGAGCAGAAGATCTGCATTCTGCACTAAAAATTGCACTAGTCTACACATACAAATCCAGAACTTTTTTTTGTTTGATGAACAAAACTCATCACGACATACACACACAATTCAATTCAAATAAAAAAAAAAAAATGTAATGATTAATTCATCACATAATGAAGATAATTTGAAGACTTTACATCACTTTGGTAGATGTGTAAAGCATTGAATTTGCAAAAAAGTAAGCTGAATAGCCTTGTTTTTTGACCTTATTTATAATTAATTGTATTGAATTAACACATAAAACTGGCTGTATATAACCTTACTGTCAAGTGTAAGCAATTTCAGTTACTCATTATAGAAGCATTAATGATCAACAAATGGCAGATTTCAGCAAAGGAGGACATCATCTCAGAATGAACAGGACAGAGATAATGACCACGAAGAAACAATGCAGAAATGGAAACAGATGGGTAGGTTTTCACACAAGGCTACAATAAAGCCTCTGGCAAATTGAGATTATGTTCATGTTTTGGGACTGAGGACAAACATACTTACCATCTATATTTAAACAGATATAGGCTAACTGATTTCAGCTAGCCGTAGCATTCATGCCTGAAAACAGACAAAAACCGCCTACTTGGGAAGAAAAGCAGTTGAATAACATGTAAAGTGACTAACCAATTTGTTTTGATTTTATGGGCATTTAGATGAGCGTAAAGCAGAAAAATGCCATTGAAATTCTGTTGAGCCATTCCTGCTACAAAATGATGCTAGAAACAAGGCCATGGGTTTGATTAACAGGAGATGCATGAAATGTAAGACTTGAATCTTTGAATCTATCATAATAATCCACAAGAAATGTAAGCAATCCAAAATCTATGTGTTTATAATAAATCCATCATTAGGACGTTTTTAACTTCTAACCATTGCTTCTGACTAAAATATAAGCCCTCTATCCAAAATATTGCATCTTGTCTGAATCAGGAAAGAAATATGCACAGATCAAGCAGTGTTCACAAGTGAAAATAGTCCAAAACAGTTCTAAACAAATATGTTGCGGATAGACTTTTTCATTCCAGGATTGAATTATTATTGATAATGAACTACTAATTTGGCCAGAAGCAACGTTTTAAAGTTAAAACTCCTTTATGATGGATTTGGTTCTTATAAACATGCAGTTTCACTGCATTACACAACATCAATTGATAGACTGGAGTCGTGTGGATTACTATGATGTTTTTATCAGCTGTTTGGACTCTCATTCTGACGGCACCCATTCACTGCAGAGGATCCATTGGTGAGCAAGTGATATAATGGTAAATTTCTCCAAATCTGTTCTGATGAAAAACCAAAATCACTTACATCTTGGATGGCCTGAGGGTGAGTCAATTTTCAGCAAATTTTTACTTTTGGGAGAACTATTCCTTTTAGGCAATATTCTCTTTCTCTTCAGGTTTATACATCACTCTACTCATAGCTGGAAAAAAAAATGCTGTCAACTTAATACAAAGTAAATATTTTCCAGATAATATTTTCCGCTGAACTTGGGAGCAGACGAGCGACAACTTATTCCCTGTGACTGTAAAGACTTCATTAAACTTTACTGAAATGATGAGCCCTCAAGGACACGAGCGCTTGTGAAACATGGCAGGATTCGGCGTCTACCTCCCCGGAGAGTCCTCGGAGACATTTGAGACGGAGAATAAAGAGTCACACTCTCCAGATCTAAAACTGCCTTGAGAGAGAAGAAACCTCAGAAATGTTGGATAAGATCTTGTTGGCTATAAACATTGAATAAAGTGGAGATTTTGGTTACTTGCATTCAGTGTAAATGCGATAAGTGCTCAGACCCAAGAGGGCTGTGCATGGTCTTGAGCAAGACTGTTTGGGCTATCTTCATTAGAGTGCTCTTCTCACTTACAGCCATGAAAACCCCCAGAGGAGGAGAACACAGGGTGTGCTGCTGCCTGTCTGCTCCTTAGGAGGAATAAAAATAGAAACAAACAAGACGATTGTTGGCATACAGTAGAGATGTAAAATTAATTTGGATAAAATAGCTCAGATTATGGTTTTGGTATAATTAGATTCAAGACACTCCTAATGAAATCATTTAATTACAGACTTTTGCATTTTGGCAAATGTACAGCAGGTGTACTTTTTTTCACTGATATGGTGCCATGCACATCGTCATTCACAATTCCAGTGAAGAAAAGGTGGTTTGAAAGTTTGGAGTTGGTAAGATTTTTGAAAGAAATCTCTCATGCTCACAAAGGCTGCATTTATTTGATCAAAATTACAGTACATTTGTGAAATATTATTACAATTTGAAATAACTATTTTTTATTTTAATATGATTTGAATTGTAAATCATTCAATCAGTTTTAAATCATTCTAATATGCTGATTTGCTGTCAAGTAAAAGGTGTATTATTATCCATGCTAAAAACAGTTGAAGCATCCAATTCAGCAGTTTTACTTTTTTCAGGATTTTAGAAAGAATATATATATATTTTTAAATAGAAATCATTTCTAACATTAAACGTCTTTACTGTCATTTTTGATCAATTTAATGCATCCTTTGAATAAAATTATGAATTTCTTTTTCTTTCTAACTTCTGTATAGTAGTCTATCACAGTTTCCACAAAAATATTAAGCAGCAGCAGCTGTTTTCAGAATTGATAATAATAATAATAAATGTTTCTTAAGTAGCAAATCAGCATATTAGAATGATTTCTGAAGGATCATGTGACACTGAAGACTGGAGTAATGATGCTGAAAATTTAGCTGTGCCGAACATTTGAATATTTATTAAAACAGAAAATAGTTGTAATTGTAATAATATTTCGCAACATTACCATTTTACTGTATTTTTGGTCAGCCTTGGTGAGCATAAACCAATTTTTCACCATCAGTGTATGTGTGTGTGTGTTTTGCTTTTGGGAAAAACATACACCATAATAAACTGACTAATTGACCTAAATAAAAAAATAGATTCAAGGACACATTTTGCCGCCATTGTGACATCTGTGTTTCCCCGCTCTTGAGAATCACCAGCTGCCATCGCATTCAACAGTCCAGAGATGTGTTGTCTTCAAGGAGAGACAGAGAGTCAACATTTAATTTGGATCATCTGGTGGAGGGAAAGAGAGGAGCTTAAGGGAGGGACTCAGTTGCAGCAAGGAAGGATTTTGAATGCAATCGTGCAATCAGCACTGGCTTCCTTGGGGTGCACTTCTTTCAGTGGGCTGGTTTGTCTCAAACACACACACACGGTCCTTGCTGAGAAGCAGAAGCGTATGCTTATTTCCCAAGGCCCCTATCCAGAAGTTGTTGAGATCTATGGAAATGATGTTGCATTAAAAACGTAAGCGTCTTTATATGGCATGCTTTTTGTAATGACACTGTAATGATGCTGTATTACAGATCAAACATCTGTTACAGCAAACACACTGAACAGAACTTTCAAAACATGCTCAACTGCCAAACTGCATCCATTTTCAAGATCTAACTGCTATAGAGGATTGGAAAGATGTCCTACTTTACCTTAAGCTCTGTTTGACTGCAAAGGTGTGTGTTCATGTGGAGAAGAGCTCTGTAAATCACATACCGGAGTGAGGAGGAACATCCATATTTTATGACGGAATAAGGCGGAAAGCTCTTCCAAACACATTTTCGTACATGAGTGGGAGGTCACGGCCCGTTTTACAAACAGTCAATCAGGTGGATGAGCCACTGATTTATGTCCCATCGCTGCCTTAGAACAACCCTATGAATCACATTTCATTAGGCAAAGTATCACTGAATTAATTCACTCCATTCATAATTGGAGTCAGTCTAAATGAGCCAGGGTCATATTTGATTTGAGCGGGAGCCTTGCAGACCAATCTATCAACCTCTGTGATGTGTAACATTAGTTTAAAGCCCTCATGGCCTCAAGAAGCTGAACGCTGGGTGTGAGGGATTAAAGACGGCCTCTTATTAAAGGCTCATCTTCAAGAGAGGCCATTCAAGCACTGGACCCCATAAGCATGGGATTTATTTAATGAATTTTAAATGGCTGCCGTCAAATTAACAAGTAAATATACAAGTAAAAGAATGAAATAGAGCATGCTAGCACTGGCAAGGCAACCAAATATTCAACAAATTGTTTTCTGTCTGGCCATAGAACAAAGAGGTGTCATGGATACAATGAATAAAATAAAAATATTATGATATAAAAATAGTATAAAAATAAAATAATATAAAAATAGGGTTAATATATCAAATAAAATACGTCTTGTAGTAGTACCCGATATATTTTCATTAATTTCACTTCTTTATTGAATCATTAGTTAATCGGACTGAATGAATGAATGAATGAATGAATATGTAGTAATAAAAAAATCAGTACAACATTACACTTTCAGGATAATTTTACTCAATGTCAATTCAACTTTTTAACCCCCAATTCTCATTACTGTGACATGAAAAAGGGATTAATACAAAAATGTTATAAAATTTAATAAATTATCTATTTGTACATCAGTTAAATCATTACATTGTAAATGATATTGTAAAATAAGATATGATATTATATTGTAAAATAATTGAAATAATATTATATATATATATATAATTTATAATTTACAATAAATATTACACATAAATGACTGCTACAGCAATATAAATCATCATTAAAATTTTGAAAAAGACAGTAACAGTTGCATTATTGTACTGAACTGGGACGTAAAATGTGCCATTAATTGCCATGAAAATATTGAAAAATATTCTATAATGCATAGTATGCCAATTAAATGGAATTAAAATTAATTTCCAATACAATCAAATAAAATAAATTAAATTGTAGCAGTAACCTTTACATTTTCTGGATTATTAGGCTAAACTCGTTTTAGCCCCCAATTGTCAATACTTTTATAAAGAGTCTCATTCATATATAAATGTAATAAAACGTAATAAATTATTTATTTATACACCAGTTACATCATTACATTATAATATTACTTTTATATTTTAATATTTCATGAATACTATATATAAATGACTACAACAGCAATATGAATCACCGTTAAAAATTTGAAAAAGACAAAACCAGTTAAATTATAGCACTGAACTGAGGCATACTGAGGATCACTGGCATACTAATCCTCCTTTTCCTTTCATGTTAAGATTTATGTAAGAAATAACGTATAGTCAGCCTGTCATTACTGCAAAACAAAACTAATGAGACTGATAAGGTGATCAGAACCTCAATGTGAAGCTCTGAAGGGGTTAACTTGAGAATAATGATAGTAGTATCCTCATCCTATTCTCCCTCTCTCTCTTTCTATCCCATAATTTCTCTTCTTTTCTCAGCTGCTTTACAATAAAGAAGAAGCAAAAGGCCCCAAAATACAATAAAAAGGACAAATGCTTAGAGGAAGTTGAGCTGAAACATAACTTTAAAGCAGCCATAAAAGTAAAAGGCCCCTGAAGTGCACACAAATACCCTGACAGTGTTTCCTTAAGCAAAAGAAGTCCATCAACCGACAGCAAATCTCTCAAGCTACGCTGTGGAATCTGCACACAATTCAACACCATGACAACAGATGGAGAAATGCTATTCTTCTGCACACCGCACCCCACAGCAGCACAAAGATCATCTCAAAAGGCTTCGGCCCTGTGGAAACCACAGCAACACTACAGATGACCACAGAGCGCCATACGTGACAAAACTGCTATCTGCTCCCAAATTAAATCCAGCTGAGAACTGCGGCAAAGAGAGAGAGCGATGGAGAGAGTACGTGAGAATAAAGACGCCTCACACTTAAGACTGAGTCGCATCTCTTTCCCCCAGTGGGACAGAGGGTCTTTTCTCCTCCCTGAAGGGGGTTGAAAGTGACACAGAGGCAGAGCCGTCCCCTGACAGAGAAGCTCCAATGCAGGGGACAGATGTTCCAGCTGGGCTCAGCCGCCGTGACATCTCGGCCTCCAGCTGCTGACCGCCCACTTTCCTATTGCTCAGCGCAGTCTTGTTAGGGACGGGCCTTTGCTTTTCACGAAGGAGAAATGGAATGGAGGGAGACTAAATAAATTAGAGTGCAAGGCCGCAGCCTCAGCTTGAGACTGGCATCGCATAAAGACAGATCCACACTGCAGAGCATTCCGGTCAGGAACGTCCACAGAAGAGTTTCAACCATAGTTTCATGTTGTTTTACGAGGCCTTTAAGGCCAATCTAGAATCAGATAATAGAGAGAAGAAATTTGCAACATTTTCATAGTCTTAATACACTATTAGCAGGAACAATTGTGCAAAGAAAATGCTGAAGAATTCAAATTTTACACAACAAAGCGCACTTTGCACAATGCATCCCACAATGCAATGTTTGACCTTCCATTTCCAGCCGTGACTTCAGTTCTTTCTTGACTGATTATTTGACTAGTCTGTCAAATCCAGGACATTTAAATAAATAAATAAAAGTGTTATTTACACAGAACTTATTTTTTAAATATATTCTGTTTTGTAAAAAACAACAAAAAAGATTAAGATTTTGTAAAAGTTCTTTGAAAGAAGTCTCTTATGCTCACCAAGGTTACATTTATTTGATCAAAAATTATATTTTGAAATATTATTACAATTTAAATTAACTTCTCAATTTTAATGTACGGAAAAATTTAATTTATTTCTGCCAGGACCACTATCGTCAAAGATGATTGACAATTATGTAAAGCTGAATTTTCATCAGTCATTGTCACGTGATACTTCAGAAATCATTCTAATATGTTGATTTGGTGTTCATAAAACATTTTTTACATTTTTATCAGTGTTGAAAATAGTTGTGCTGCTTAATATGTTTGTAGAAACCATTATTTTTCCAGGATTCTTTGATGAATATAAAGTTTAAAAGAACAACATTTATTTCAAATATAATTGTTTTGTATCACTGTAAAAGTGTTTACTGTGACATTTGACCAATTTAATGCATCCTTGCTGAAAAAAAAAACTTACTCCAAACTTTTAATTGTTTGTATATTAATATATTAATGCATTTATGTACTTTCTGAAAGCTCAAAGCTCAAGGTCATTTATAATTAATGCAAAATAACCAACAAATAACACAAACAATAAAATCAATATGCCATCTGGATTGCCATGTGCAGGCAATGTGAAAAGATCATGTGACAATAATGTAGCATACTGTATTGCAAGCATTTACCAAGAAAAAAACTTTCACTTCTATTTTTAAATAACTGTAGGCAGTATACAGTATCTACTGTGCAGTATTCAGTAAATAACCAATATTACATCCAAACACAGCCAAAGCTGCACTCAAGGCCTTTGTTTACATTTTACTAAGTGTCTCAAACAAATCTTTGAGTCAAGAGGTTTGATGCCATAGACTTTGGCAAATTCTAGTTCTTCTTTCATGGAAGCGTTCACTGCCTGGGAACTTGTAAACATGACTGTTTCCCGAAGGACTGATACAAACTTGTGTACTGACTCCCAGAAACTGCATAAATCTAGCCGATCAGATTGGACATTTTGAGGAAGCTCTTGCCATTTTCAAGGGCAATTCACATCAAACATGGCCATGCCGTCTGAGGCCGAGACTGGACAAGCGGAGCACAACTGTCTAACTCTGGGATACTGGCCAGGGTCTGAAGACCCATTGCAATTGACATTCATTCCTTGGCATCTATTCCAGGCGGCCTCCAATAACATGGAGCTCCAGAGGGAGAGAGAACTCTACACCCTGCCGTCCACAGTCTCTATAGATCACTTCCACAGGATCAGACACAGGTGGAAAAATTAAAGGGGTAATTCATCACTGGCATGATGAGGTTTTTAATAAAAGTTGGCTGTTTATGCACTCTAAAAAATGCTGGGTTGTTTCAACCCAACTTTGGGTCAAATATGGACTAACCCAACCGTTGGGTTACATTTTTACATTAAATTTTTAACCCAAAAGTTGGGTTAGTCCATATTTGGCCCAAAGTTGGGTTGAAACAACCCAGCATTTTTTAGAGTGTGCAGTAGAAATGTGATTTTTAAATGCAGTATTACAGAAACTACTAGAGAAAACTATGGAAGCCCATTTCCCCACTGAATGAAACAATGAAACAAGGTAAATGCGTTTTGTCCCACTTATCCCACAATTCTGACTTTTTTTATATCATGCAATTCTGCTATCATGCTATTTTTTCTCGCAATTGCGAGTTTACATCTTGCAATTCTGACTTTTTTCCTCAAGTCAGACAAAAACAGAGAAAAGGAGCTGTGGCCAAAAAAGTAGAAAAACTTCAGTAGAAAACTTGTAGTTTTCAGAAATGTCCTGGGGCAGGGAAACAGAAAAATAATACACATTGTTCATTTACTTATACTACTAACATTGTAACAAAACAAAGCTGGTTGAAAATTGGCAAACTAGGAAAAACATGGATTCATTTAGTAATAAAACGCCACTGTGTGTTGCACAGAAAGGCACAACAGTTCTGCTGTGGCTTTTTGGAACTATTTTTGTTGGCGAAATTGAGCAAAAACAGAATTTATTGCGTCTAAAATAACTTCTTGTTTATTGAACTGTTGTATAAAATCAATATCACATTTGCAATCGTGCGGATAATTGGAGGAAAACAACAGCAATCTTGCTTGTGTGATATTGCAAGTGACATTTTGTGAGATTATTTTGCCCTCACAATTTTAGGGGCATATAATTGCATTCTAATAGAAAATATATTTAAAATGGCCAAACATATGAGAGAAAATATAAGTTAGTGAAACACATTGAAAACATATGTACATTTATTTTAAAATCTATATTAGCAATGTATTTTGGGCCACATATTAATATTGTATATTATGATATATTTAAAAATGTCAAGAAATTGTCCTGCAGTCAAAACTTAGATTTGAGTTTTAACTAAACTTCTTATCTTATTATCTGAACTAAATAATAATAATAATAATAATAATAATAATATTATATGAACTAAAAAACAAAACAAACTGAGAACACCATTGTCAAACCACCATTATAAAATTAAATTAAATTTTATAAATACCATTATAAAATAAAAATAAATTTTATAAAATATAAACACACACACACACACACACGCACACACACACACACACGTTTGTTTTTCGGTTATGTTGGAAACTTTCCATTGACATCTATTTATATACTGAGTTGTTTTCTATTTTTACATAACCCTCACACAAACCATGCTGTTTTTTTATGTTAAGACATTTTGTTTGTTTTTTAAACTGTTTTGTAGGTGATTTCAGGTTATTTATATGCATCCAATGTTTGTCAGTCTTTTCATACCTCTACGATGCTTTTTGTCTGCGTTCTGAAAGCTCTCCAAGTGCATACTTCATCTGATGAATTAGATTACAAGTGCTATGATGCTTCATATTACATTAGCATTTTGCATTTTCTTTTTTTAAAGAGTCACTTGCTGTATTTACAGGTGCATCTCAATAAATTAGAATGTCGTGGAAAAGTTCATTTATTTCAGTAACTCAACTCAAATTGTGAAACTCGTGTATTAAATAAATTCAATGCACACAGACTGAAGTAGTTTAAGTCTTTGG